ACTTTGAGCACCTCTTGTAATTGCAGAAGTCAAACATGACTTGTATTCATCTTTTGTTATCAGTATATATTGAGTATTACAATTTTCATACAGTTTTTTCCTTTCTTAAAATGTGTATACATTTTTTTGGCACCCTGTGTACATCAAAAAAGTGTTCTGGATTAGGTAAATTAGTCCATGTAACTTCTATTTGCAATTTCCCTGGGTAGTTTGAGTGGCTGGGCCGGTACTGTGCTCCTTGCATCATCACAGGCACCTTCTCAGCAAGAGTGCTGACTGTGTGCATCCTCTGCTTGTGCTGCTTCCAGGCGGTCATGCTGGACTCCACAGACGTCAACCTCTGGTATAAAATTGGACACGTGGCCCTGAGGCTCATCCGGGTCCCCCTGGCTCGCCATGCTTTTGAGGAAGGGCTGCGGTGCAATCCTGACCACTGGCCCTGCTTGGACAATCTCATCACTGTCCTGTACACCCTCAGTGATTACACAAGTGAGTCAAGCTTTGTTGCTTTCTCCCATGCCCTATGTTTTTGGGACAGAGGAGGGAGGGTGGCTTGGGTAAGCTGGAAGTCAGTTAACACTGACGGTCTTTTTGCCCAACTGTCAGGGAAAATGGAGATGTTTTTGCATCCCTGCTTTATTCTGCTTGTCTTTCTTACTCAACTGAGATTTATCAAGTGTATTGCAGTAATAAGTAGTATGCTCTCTTAGTGGTTTTCCCTTTGGTCATTTCACTTCATCTCTGCATTGTCTCATCCTATGCCAGAACGTATTTCTGTAACTTGCTGGCAGATGACATAGCAGCTGCAGCTTGACTCTTTCTGGTGCCAGGGAGCTCACTACCTCTTGAAGCAGGCTGGGCTACTGGAAAGATCTCTGCCAGACAGAACCCCAGTCTGCCTTCCAGTTCTTCAGCTCCCTGGTCTCAGCCTTGTCCAGAGAACCCATCTGCCCCTTGCTTGGGCTGGTCCTGAGGTAGGCATTGGTTAGGTGTTCTGTCCTTGGGGGTTTCTGAGCTCCTTATGGGGATCAGCCTCCTCTGTGTACCTTGTGAGGCCAGAGGTGGAGGGTGGCTTTCCAGGAGCACTCTGAGCAGGGCTGGGTGTGGTGGGAGCTGGCCACGTGTGCTGCATGCTGGCCCCAGCAGAGCCCAGTTGTCCTTTTCAAGACAGACATGCTGACGAGCCCTTGTTATTATTTCCAAGGTTTATGCTTGGGAGGTTGACTTGCAGAGGCTTTTCCCTTCTCTTTTTAAGGACAGATAGCACTAGGATGGAGTATGTTGAGAAGCACTAGTGCCTGCCTATCCATCCCCACCTCCAGCTCTTGTTCTCCACAACCACTTTTTAAATCTTTTTAATTAAGGTAAAACATGTACACAGTAAAGTGCACATCTGAGGTCCATCAGTCTATATGTGAATTTCACATGTCAAGGTGCATAACATCTGCAGAGCCCCAGAAGGCAGGCTGCTTTGGGTCCCTTTCCATTCGTTACTACCCACTGAGGTGACCTTGATTTTCCCCTTCTGTCACCAGAGATGAACTCAGCCTCTTGCCGAACCTCCTCTAGGTGGCGTCAGATGGCAGTGGGTGCTCTTCTGAGCTTGGCTCCCTGGACTGTGGTTGTTCTGTCTGTGAGCGCACCCACGTAGGGCATGGCATTTGCTAGGCCCTTTTTATTGCTGTGTAGTCTGTTACGTGCATACACAATTTGACCGTTCTATGCTTGGACATTTGGGTTATTTTCAGATTTGGGCTCTTGTATAACGCTGCCATGAATGTTCCTGTGCTCTTCCTTTGGTGGACATAGGCACCTGCTCTGTTGGTTGCCCCAGTTTTCACCCCCACCAGCGGGATATGGTAGTTCCAGTGGGGCACCGTTTTGACTCTAGCAGTTTATTCTTCCAGAAGCTTTTAGTCTCTGCTTGGATGCTCTTGCTGTAGCGTGGGTGCCACCTTGAGGTAGAACAGTTGTCAGTGCCTTCTGCCCCTGTCCACCTGGTTTAGTTCTTCATACCCCCTCTTGTGGTAGGAGAAGTTATGCTTGGTAAACTTAGGCCCTGTGAGAAAAATAGGTTCGAGGGACTGACCTGATGCATATATCTGTGAGACCCCTGGTAGATTGGACACTGAACCCCAAAGGAAAAGCAGCCCAGTGGTATCTATACACTTAAGATGAGCAGGCAGAGGTGCTTGGGCTTAATGCCTGCTGACCACCTCTTCTTCCCTTGAGACTCCTCAGGCCTTGCCTCTGCCGCTAGTGCAGTTAGCTTCACAGCAGCTAAAGTGCCTGCCATGAACAAGTGTCATCCAAATGCCCAGTGCCTCCCTGGTTTTCTCTCTGGAAGTCACTGATGGCCACCCTCTAGTCCTACTGTGGTTCCCGAGAAACCATGTTGTTGTGTACAGATGGAGTCGCACTGTGACTGTTCCCCTGCCTCTTTCCCAAGCTGTTTTGTGGCCTTCCTTCTGGTCAGTAAGCACATCCCTCAACCATCTGTGCAGCGGCTGCTCGGCAACCCATTGTGTGGATCGGAGAAACCTTGCTGTTTTGTTATTAGCCAATAGCTAAGCACTGTGGGCCCCATAGGTTTTCTTATAGCAATTCCTAGAAGTGGGATTGCTGGGCGGATTGTGTGTAATGCCTGTGGTTCTCCAGAAAGGTTGCATAATCTGTCCTCCACAGCAGTGTTTGGGTCCCCCCGCCGCCCCCCCCCCACTGTGGGTAGTATTATTTTCAGAAATCTTTCCTGATTGAGTCAGTTAAAATGGGATCTCATTGTTGTTTACTGTGCATTTATTTGATCCCAGAGCAGGAGCATTGTCGTGGTGTTAACTGGCAAGGCTAGAGCTTTAGAATGCATACTCAGAAGTCATAACCGTTTCTTTCCCTGCCAGCGTGTTTGTACTTCATCTGCAAAGCTTTGGAGAAGGATTGCCGGTACAGCAAAGGACTGGTTCTCAAGGAGAAGATCTTTGAGGAGCAGCCTTGTCTCCGGAAAGACTCCCTCCGAATGTTCCTTAAATGGTAGGTCCCGCCTCGTCCCTTGCCGGGGTCTGCACTCCCTTCTTCCCTCCCCAAGTAGCTGGTGACCATCAGGAGGCATGTGCACCTTGTTCTATCAGGTCCTGACCTCCTGGCTGATGAGTCCCTGCATTTAATCCCCTTCATCATCGTCTGGTGAACGGGCTTTGATCTGCCTTGCGTGTTACTCAGCTGTGTGCCTAATCTCAGCACTGCCGCCTTGGCTGTGTGCTGCTCTCCTTCCTCACTGCCCTGGCGGCCGTCCGCCGTTGTCAGCTCTCCTCTGGATGCACCTTGCTTCCTCGCCACTCCCCTTTTCCCTTTCTAGGACTTTGCTCCCAGTGCTGCCCAAGTTCATTGTCCCGAATACACCTCTGGTCCTGTGCCACCCCTGCCTTGCCTCTAGGACAAAAGCCATGCTCGGCAGTATTGCCCAGGAGGTCCTTTGCAATCTGACTCCCCCCACCCCCCTCAC